AACGCCATAAGATTTTTTTGGCATTTCCTCTAGTCGTCTTTTACGCAACTTGCGGGACAAAATGTAGTTTTAGATTCTCTCACATCAACACCACATGGTATATTATAATAATTAACAATTGACGTATGTATTTTATTTGTAGCATATTCACCTCTTAGCAATATACTTACTTATTGGTAGAGAGTTTTGGCGGGAACTTGACCGGCGGCGGATTGCTGCTCCTGTATTATTGTTTAAATAATGGTTTGAAGTGGATTTTGATATGTAAAAGTGGTGCGATTTTGTATATTAAGTATCTGCGCATGTGAACTATTAGTGAAAACGGTGAAACAAGTACTCTGATGGTGACGTGATTCTCAAGATAAGGTGCCTGTCTGCTTAGGCGCCGTGAGATACCATCGCCATCTGCTGGCCGCCAAGTTGCCGTCAAAATCTCCCAAGGGCTGCACAATGTGACGCATCAACATATTGTGAAGCAGTGTACTATGCAGGATTATTAAATACATTGTAAGTCCAGGCTCAGAAGAACCTAGAGCCGTAAAGCCAGTTATTAAAAAATACTTATTGGCATTGAGTTATATGTACTACGTACTAGAGAAGCCATTCCAAAAATTGTGTCCTACTCTATGTCTTCGCGCATGCGCGGTAGTAATAGTCGCGCATGAGCGAAGACTTTAATTTGATATAAAATAAGATATTACTATAAAAAAAATATAAGAATTTAGTATAAAATATCTTAATTTAATCTAAACAAACATATTTCTAAATAAAATGTAATAACAATTATTTTATGGAATTCACAAATCTTCAATTTACGCAATATTTAGTTTGTATGGTATGCACTACAATTCAGTTGAACACAGTCAATGTTCGGAATGGCTTCTGTAGTATGTAGTACATATAACTCAATGCTTATTGGTAACAATATTGTTTCGTTCATAAATCTTAAGAAGCAAATGTTTTCTTACTGTAAGCTCGTAAATTGTATTGTCTACCAAAGAATATCTTGTTTTTAGAAAGATTTGTAACCCGGTCCGTGAAATTAAGGCTGCTGTGAACACTAAAACACCCTGCGGTTATCTAACGTCAACAACAGCAAACATAAATCAGATAATAAAACCAGTAGTTAGTGTAAGATGAGAAAATAATTTGTTCAAATAATTTAGGACCGGTGGTCACCCGTGACGCGTGGGCCGGTAAAAGGCAAGTGTCGCGTGCGTATGCAGCCTACGCCACACTCTTGGATTATATATTTTTCAAGTTTGTTTGTCTTTGACATGTCTGTTAAAAGTTAAACCTAGGCGCCAACGTTTCGAAACATTTCGAAACGGTATTAGATTTAAAGTAGTAGTAGTAGTTAGACCTATAGTAGGCTTAAAAAATTACATTTGCCTCTAACGAAAACGTACTTTCTTACTTCAAAGAAATAAATATTTCATTTTACTTCATAAGCAGCTAAACTTAGGTAATTTCAATACAGATCGTCTACGGAAGCAAGGCTCAAGTCTTCAGCGCAGATATGTCTACTAAAAGAGACAACTGTCAAAGTTGACAATATCGTGCACACACTATTCCGGTGATATCCTGAATGCCATCCTAAACAAGATTCGAATGACTCTCCAGCAACATAAATACGACAGAGCTCCAGGTGAGTATGAAATTATAGCGGAGCTTTCGAAATTAGGCAAACTCCTAGCCTGAATTGGAGCTCCCCCAGCAGCGAATGTTACTAACAAATCATCCAATTATTCTATTCATAAAGGGTTAAATAATTTAAATAATTGTCTAAGTTTTATTTATTGTTTCTTTTTTTCTACGAGTATCAATGACAAATGAGGCCACAGTCCTCACTTAAATCGTAAACCCCTACTTTTCTGCCGACTACCAAAAAGGAGACGGTACTCAATTCGTCTGTATGTTTTTTTATGTGTGTTACCTCATAACTTTTTACCTGGTGAACCGATTTCGATGACTCTTTTTTATTTGAAAGCTGGTACTTCTCGTGTGGTCAGACCAATATTATTGAGTTATTCTTAATAACTTATACTGAAGTCTGCTGTTCAAAATTGTTTTAAATTATACTTATAGAGATTTGTACTTGTTACTAGTAAAAAGGGTCTCCGTTTCTCCTTACTCACCATACGAAATATGATGATGCTATTCCATGCTGATATTATGTGCGAGCATCTGGTATTACTGCCTCGTTGGTCTAGTGGTTGTAGTAGTGCGACTGATGGTGATGAGGTCCCGGGTTCGAATCCCGGATCGGGCCAAAAAAATCAGTTATTGAGTTTTTCTATCAAGAAATTCTCAGTAGCTGCCTGGAGTCAGGAAGTTGGCGGTGTCTCACCCCCGTGCCTCGGAAAGCAAGTTAAGCCGTTGGTCCTGCGCCTGATCTCTCTCCGGTCGTGTCGGTTTACCGTCCCATCGGACTATGAGAGTGAGGGAATAGAGAGTGCACCTGTGCTTGCGCATACACTCGGGCACTATAATGCTGTCCTGCGCAGGTGGCTGGTCTCCGTTGAGACTGGCCGCCGTGACCGAAATTCGGTCTGGAGGACATTATAATTATGTGCGAGCGTGGTCCTCCCCAGGGCGAGAGTTCGTGCTGTAGCAATAATATTTCTAACTGTGGAGTGCGAATAACAAATATTATGATATTTAAATTCCATTACCTTAATCCTACGAAATTGCTAAGTAAGTCGTTACCAAGTTCGTAGCTTCCAAAGTAACACAGATAATAAAAAGTTAAAATGTGATCCTTTTTTAGAGATGTTTTAGTACCTCTTCTTTTTATAGTAATAGTTCTCTTATCTGACTATGGATTTTATTGAGAATAGTATACTTCCAGTAAAATCTTTATAGTAAGTAGATACTTATGTTATTTTGCGGGAGATAATTTCCAAATGACTGTTATATCAGATGTGAGAGACTGCGACTGTTTTAATAGCGAACTTAGGCCGGTAGGTGCGGAGAGGCCTATATGCAACAATGGAAAGATTTCACACTATGAAGACGATGAATTGCTGTTAGATTATTGACATAATTATATTTTTATTAGGAAACTTTAATAAAAAAAATTGTCTATGTTTGAAAATGATTTTAGAAGTCATTTTCGATTTATTATTAAAATAAACGGTACTTAAAAACGTTACACTAGTATTTTCTCCTGAATCGTGAAGGAACATATATAATTTTCACACAACATATCTCCCGGACCCAGAATAATTATTTGTAGGCCATACAAATTCTTTTGCCATACGTGATTCAAACTCGCGTGTCCCTCAGCGTCGTAACCCATTGCTAAGGCACTGCGCCATGTAGCCGTTAAATAGAATGATATCATCAATATATGAATAAAATTAATCAGTATTAGGCTTAGCACGCACTGCGATTAAACGCAAGCGTTTAACCGTATGTCTGAAACCGCAAAAAAAATGTAACACATAGCATTCTATACAAGCGCACGCATTAGCGACTTTTTTCAGTGACTGATTTTAAAAAGGTAGCTTGCTTGATTTTTATGTGTCCCAAAAGTACCAATCGACATTCTGTTAAAAAACTTATCGGGATGTTGTCGCACGTCGTTGCACATTTTGCAAAAGTATCCTTTCAGATGTCTTTAATCTGTTAGTGGATGTACCCAGTACCTACTTATGGCAGCGGCATTGTTTACGTTTTCTATTTCTTAATTTAAAAACCAAAGCCACAACAGACGCTACTCGCCAGAAATTCATGGTGGTACTGAAATAAAATTAAGCAAAACGCCAGCCGCAGTGCGTGGTTGTATGCGGTTTTGCGTTTTCAGCTATTCCTAAATCACTCGCGTTTAATCGCAGTGCTTGCTAAGCCTTAGACTGCTACAACAGTTAAATCTGAAAAAAAACTGAAAAAAAATTTATTATTCATATTTTTATAAGCTTACGATCCGCCCCGGTTTCGCACGGGTAATTTCTGGATCTCGACAACACCGTCACTTACCGGGTCCAAATGTGAATCTAAACCATCTCTAGGGACCTATTCAAAAACACTGTAAGTGGTAGAGTCACGCGGCAGCTTATGCTGTCGCACGGATGGGCCGGCTCGAACCGGGGTGGTACCACGACCTCACAGAAAACCAGCGTGAAGTAGAGGTTTACCTCTGCGTTTCGCTTGGTGAGTGCCACAAAAAAACATACAGTCGAAGGTGGCCGGAGGCCCTTTTTACTGGAAGTGAGGCATTCCATCTTAGTCCTCACGGGTGACAGTGCATCTACATTTTGATTTGTAATAGAGGATAGATGTAGATGTCTATGGGCCGCAGCAATAACGTACCATCAGGTGGACTGTGTGCTCGTTTGTCACCCTTATCCTATAAAAAAAGTTCAAAAATACGCGAAAAATGTCATCAAAAGCGATGGAGCCCCTTTCGAGTTTTAGCGAGACTAACGGATAGCAATTGCTTTTTATAGAGATGTAGATATTTGCATTCTCCGTTTTTCTGACCGAATATTACTGTAAACACGTGATCATCAACACAGTCCATCACAAGTCCACTGCAGAACATAGGCCTCCCCCAAGGAATTCCACAAAGCACGGTCCTGAGCCACCTGCATCCATCAATCCTGCATATCTTATCAGGTCGTCACTCCATCTAGTGGGGAGACGCCTTACACTTCGTTCGCCGGTACGAGGGCGCCACTCGAAAACTTTTTTCCCCATCGATAGTCGGTTCTTCGAGCTATATATATAGCCGACCCATTGCCACTTCAGCATACTGATCCTTTGGGCTATGTCGGTCACTCTGATTGTCTACTGCGAATATCCTCATTTCTAAGTTTATCTCGCAAAGAAACCCCGAGCATAGCCCTCTCCATAGCTCGCTGAGCGATCTTGAGCTTCCTCATACGGCCAGCACTGAAGCGTGATGATATAATTTGCTAAAAATAAAACGAGTCACTTTTAAATTAAATTTATTATTACAATATTATTAAAATCTAAATCAAGACTACTAGCGACATCTAGAATTGAGATCGGAACTGCGTAGCGGCAACAGGTCCGCACAAACTTTTACCGCGTAGCCAGTTGGAGAGTGTAAAGCGACTCCGGGACGACGGAACGCTGGGAAGAAAATTATTGCCATCGGCTTGTTCGTAGAGTAGCGTTATGTAGCGGTGAGGACCAGTGCCGCGAGGTGGCGTTGGGGGCTTGTAACCTAGGAGTGAAATAAACGTAATTTAGGTAATACGAGTAAATATCACACAGGGCACAACTAAATATTATTACTGAGTGATTTTTTTTATGAAATAAGGGCGACACCACGTAAAAATAATGATTGTAGCATTACTAATAAGTAACTATATAAAAAAAATCAAATCAGTAAGTAATATTAAAATTTTTGTTTAGTTTTTAATAACATTTCATAAAGGTTTAAGGAAAAAGAAAATAAGTGCCTTCCGATTAAAAAGAAAGGGTAGGTCAAAAAAATAAGAAAAGGTTTAGTCGTGGAACGTATGTAAAATCTCACCTCGATAATCAATGCCTATGGTTTTACTGCTTTCCTTCGTTCTAAGAGCAAGGCCCTACAATCAAAATTATTTAAATAATTAGGGTATAATAAAAGAAAAATATACTTAATATAAGGCTATAAACTATTTTCGTTTAACAAAATAGAAGAAGAGTAAGCATGTAGGTATTGTAAATATATTATTTTAGAAATCGTTCGAATCATAACGTTTTATTATTTTAGAAATGTTTTAAGAATGACTATTACCAATTCCAATAATGCGGCAGAAATACTAAGCGGTCTGCGTATAATAATACCGTTAAAAATATTTGTAGATTTCGCATACTTATGGTTTACAGTACAAATTTTCAATTTTCCGAAACAGTATAATGTGCCAAAATGTATTCTTCCCTTATTATAGATAAAATTAAACATAATATAATTTAAAAATAAAAATTTTGTACAGCCGACTTAAATATAAGTTATTAAGAATAACTCAAAAACTATTGGTCTGACCCTGATCAAATTCATATGGGACCACAGGAGAAGTACCAGCTTTCAAATAAAAAAGAGTCATCGAAATCGGTTCACCAGGTAAAAAGTTATGAGATAACACACATAAAAAACATACAGTCGAATTGAGTACCGTCTCCTTTTTGGTAGTCGGCAGAAAAATTCGACAACGAGGGAAATTTATCGTACATGAATATTCTTACTGAAATATATCATCATCTTTTAGTCGTATAACATTACATTTATATTTTTTTAAATTGTTTTATATTAAAATGCGATTAATTTAATAAAAAAGACGAGTTCAATCACCGACAGCATCAATGAAATACTTAGTTAATTGCAATTTCAAGTTCTGGTTTACAACTGCATGGTCGGTCGAAAAAGAAAATATCTGGAGGAAACTTCATGTCTAAGAAATAAAATCTCTCTTCATGTGTTTAAGTCCGTCAATACGCGATGGAAAGGCGCGGTAGAATAATTGTTGAACTAACGGGGATATACTTCTCCCCGTTGCCGTGCTTTGGCATAAGGACAAGATAATTTTATCTCTTGTCAGTGGATATAATCGGGGGATACATTTTTTGTCCCCAGCCCATGCTAGCCGCGCTGAAGCCTGTGCTCAGTTGTGCAACGTACATAGACTACAACTGAACTTCAACTTTACGTAGCTATCTTGACGATCAAAGTGCGTTCTAAAATTATTTAGATCATAATAAATAGGTACTTATATCAGTATCCGTCGCATGCCATAAGATGTTTTAATTTATATTCATTAGTGTTCATGGATTGTCTTATTCCTTTATTATTATATACTTACATAATATAATAAGATAAATAGTCCTATAATTTACAGATTTTATAATTATCAGCTGTTCCTACTTAATATGCTAAGCGCATTCCTTTTCATTGCGATAATTATGCTTATTTCCAATACAAAACATGTCACATCACATCACATAAACAGCCGTTTTTCTATTGCTGGAAGTAGACCTTTCCTAAAAAGTGTTAGTTATCAAGCAGTATTTACTAGAATTGCTCATATTAACTCCGTTTGTCAGGTGGCTTGGTCAATGCCCTCATGCAGTTGAATTTAACGTTTCAATCATAGATAATAATAAACTATATAGGGCAGTTTCAATAAAAAGGTAAGAATTTGCTTATCCCTCACCATCTAATACAATTATACAAACAAGAAATAGACTTACAGGAATATTTGATTTTAAAATGTGTAGGAAAAATTCGCCTTCAATTTGTGGTGGTGCGTCTGGATCCACCATAATAATCGTATAAAATTTTTTCTGCAATTAAAATTACAATACGTAAATTGTAGATAATACTTTACTTTTCGCTTTTAATACAAAGTACTACTGAAAATAAGAATACCGAATCAGCGAGAGCGTATTGAAAAAGCGGCTCGTCAATGAACACTTGCTTAGGAAGCAATACATCGCAGTTGTGGTCGTTCACCATTGTTCCACCGACGCTTGTTACGTTGAGTCCTGTCAATCTATCGCATCCTTCAAGCAAGCTCTTCACATCGGCCATTGAACATTGTGAAACACCTCCGTAGACTGAACTTATAGTAAAAGTAATAACTATTACTTGAATCATTTTGTTCGTTATGCTTTACACACTGTGTGCAAAATACAAGTACTTACTACCTACTTCAAATAATGAAATGAGAATGTTTATCAACAATACAGTAATGTGTTAATTTCTTGTTTATGCAACTTGGAACTGTACAATAGTTAAGCATGTTGCCTAATAGCTTTGGTATACTTCAATAACAACTGATGTTTTCGTGATTTAAAAAAACGTTATTGCATGCCTTAAGCGCGCAGGTATGTTCTGCTAGGGCCTAAAAATTAAGATTCCAGCGTTCTGTCGCATGAAATCGTATCTAGCAATCATATTATACATATAAATGATAGTTGATAGTTGAGAGATGAGATGAGATGTGAGTTATAGAGTCACCTCCCACTTCCATTTCCTGCCGGACGTGCTTAGTTCTTTTTTTATAAATTTTTAAAAATATCATTTTGTGGTTGTGTTTTCGTAATGTTTTTGACAATATAACCCTGATTTGTGGGGGCAGAGAGTTGGGGGAGGGTAGCGTAACGCCACTCAACGTGGCGCAGTCGAGGGAAACGGAGCAAAGCGGGGCTCCTATTTCTGGATGGTTTATAAAAAAATAACCACGGAGGGGATGGAGGGGTCTGTTCGCTCGCTTCGCACGCTCACTCGACCCCGCCATCCCCTCCTAACCTAACTTGTCCGAGTCGGAGTGCCCCCAAGTCCCGAGCTCGCTCGCTTCGCTCGCTCTTGCACCAAATAAAATACCAAAATGTTAACTTCTATAATTACTTTAATAAGTAAACATATTTTATAACTTCCATCATTTCAAAAAACGTCGTAAAATAGCAATCGGTCTCCAGAGGGGTAGTGAAGTCGTCCAAAAGCAGGAGGATCCGCCTCCTGTTTTATATACAATAAGGAGCACATTCAAGTAAACTCGGAAGCTACGGAATGACGCTTATGACGCGAGTCGCGAAGTCGAGTATAAACGTAGTGATTATATTCTCTTTGGTCGAGTATATCTGTTACTGATTACTGTCAATGTCAAAAGTTCCGTTCACAGAGTACATTATATATTACCGACAGTTCCGTTTCAGGTAATTAGTGATTTATGAATATTTTTAGAAAATTTTATTAAATATTTCGACGCAGCCCTTGACCCCCCACAATGACAGACTCCTCAAATTCAGGCGACTTGATTCTAAACCCAACCCCTAGATGTGTTGAAATTGGGCTCGTTTTGTTAGTTATGATGAGATCAACTTCAGACTTGATAGAGTGACTTGAAAGTGTACTTTGATGACTGCTACTGGAACTCCTCGACGAGGAGAACTAAATGTGCCAAGTTTGGCCTCGTTTTACTAGTTATGATGAGACCTTACCTCCGGACTTGATAGGGTGAGCTTAAGGCATGCACAATTGGATTTACCAGTAGTACCTTAACGCAATTCCTGTACGTGGTTAAATGCTCTTTATAACGTGTTTCGAAGTTGCGACCAGTAAACGACGAAAGTAATTTGTTTACTTTTACCACTGGTTCGCAAAAAAATCTCTGTCCTGGGAAAAACAGCAAGAAACCAAGCGGGACTTTTTTTTAAAAAAAAAGAACAATTTACAATATAATATTCATACAATTTAACAAATTTCTTTAAATTAACTATGTGTACAATTTTCATATCCTACTTATGTATAATATATACAATATTAAAAGTATAATAAAAAAACTAAAACTAGTAACTTAATTATCATATCTATATATATATTTCTACTCCCCACGGTATCGTGCCAAGAACGCTAGCGGCGTTTCCACGCTGAATGGCTATACTAGCTTTGAGCGAGAAAAGAACCAGTTCTCTTATCACCAGCATCAACGACAAGCCGCGGATGGAGTTCCTTTAGGAACTTCATCGCTCGTGGACCCCACAGACCGATCGTCTCTACAGCAAATGGCACAAATATGTAGTCGTCTCTCAGAGACTCATATTTGCGCCAGTAACTAAGATCAGCTTCGCACTACAGGTCGATATCCCCTCTACACCACCATGGAGAAATCCCCGCAAGACAGATAAAACAAAATACCTAAATAGGCTGACGTCTTTGCTAGCGGATTTTGAGGGGATAAATACTATAGCAGATCAGTCGCTCCTAGAAGAACAGGTAGCAGCTGTTACTAAGGCCATGATAGACAGCTACCATGAATCATGTCCAGAAATCACTCCACCAAGACATGCCGAGGTAAAACAACCGTGGTGGGGTAAAGAACTCGATAGAAAACGTAAGAAGGTAAGAAAAGCTCTAAATAGGGCCATGAATACCTCAATGGATGAAGACTGGCTATTATATAAGAAAGCTAAGTCTGAATACAAAAAATGTATCAGGTATCGACGCTCGATTGGGTGGCGTAAATTCTGTGGCAACATAGAAACCTGCAAACAAGCAAATAGGATTAGGAATATTCTAGCTAAACAGAACACGTCGGGATCCATGTCTCTAAAGAAACCCGACGGTAGCTACTCAACATCGCCGGATGAAGCCCAACGCATCCTAATTGAAACGCACTTCCCAGGTTGCTGCGTAACCCAGGAGGCAAACCGGCATGACGACATACTGACATCAACAGCAGAAGACTGGAATTTAGCACAGAGAGTGGTAACGATGGACAAAATCCATTGGGCCATTCACAGTTTCCTCCCCTATAAGGCGGCAGGACCCGACGGCATATTCCCAGCACTCCTACAGTGGGGGGGTAAAGCCCTAATAGTCAGACTTGCTGCCATAATGCGAGCCTGTCTTGCTCTTAAATATGTTGATAGGGGATGGAGGGAAGTGAAAGTTACATTCATACCCAAACCAGGTAAGAGCGACTACACTGACCCTAAATCCTACAGGCCCATTAGCCTCACATCCTTTCTCCTAAAGACGATGGAGAGGATGTGTGAAAGGGAATTAAGGGGGTCGGCGCTAATGAACTTACCACTACACGACAAGCAACACGCCTACAGTCTAGGCAAATCAACAGAATCGGCCCTTCATAAGGTAATTACAAAGATTGAAGAGGCCATCCAAAACAAAGAAATATGTCTAGGTTCCTTCATAGATATAGAAGGTGCTTTTGACCAAACGAACTTCTCCAGCATAAAAGGTGCACTCGGTAGACACAAAGTTGAACCGGCACTGATCGACTGGATAGTTTACATGCTCAGTACACGAATAATAAAGATTGCTGGTGAATCTCAACCAATTCAAATTAAGAAAGGCTGCCCGCAGGGTGGGGTTCTCTCACCTCTCCTGTGGAATATGGTCATTAATGAACTCATCAGCAAATTAAATGACAATCACTTCTATACAGTAGGTTATGCTGATGACCTGACAATACTGGTCTCTGGAAAGACAGCAAGCATAGTGTGCGACCTGACCCAAGCGGCTCTCCGTATAGTGGAGAGATGGTGCAGGGAACACGACTTAACCGTCAATCCAAATAAAACGGTTTTAGTTATGTTCACACAAAAACGAAAGCTGAATAACTATCATCCTCCAAGTCTTTTAGCACAAAACTCCAGATATCTCTGAGGTAAAATATTTAGGTCTTACCTTGGACAGCAAACTTAACTGGAATAAACACATAGAAAACAAAATCAACAAAGCTAGTATAACTTTCTGGCAATGCAGAAACATGATTGGCAAAAGATGGGGATTGACGCCAAAAATCATACTGTGGCTTTACAAAACTGTAATTCGGCCCATGATCACATACGGCGCTCTGGTATGGTGGACCAAGACAAATGAAGCCACCATAATTAAAAAGCTTCAGCGCTACCAGAGACTGGCATGTATGGCTGCCAGAGGCTGCATGAGAACTACGCCAACAGCAGCCTTAGAAGCGATGCTGGAGCTAACTCCGCTTCATCTACATATACAACAAGAAGCGACTTTAGCTGCCATCAGACTCAAGACCCTAAATCTTTGGAGTAAGAATAGTGTCCCTCATACAGGCATAATTGATAGAATTCACTCAAAAATTCCTATCCTACAAGCCAAATACGATAGGATTCCTAAACAATTTGTTTTCGATAAGAAATACAAGATACAGTTAAATGAAAACAGCCAGCCGGAAGGATTAAGCCCAAAAGAGCTTAGAATTTTCACCGATGGTTCTAAAACAAATGAAGGTGTAGGTTCTGGAGCTTTCTCTGAAGACCTCAATATTCACATATGCACACCGCTGGGTACCTATAACACGGTCTTTCAGGCGGAATGTATGGGTATCATTCAAGCGGCCATAGCAATAGATGCTAGGAAGGTTAATGACTTCCCCATCAGAATACTGACCGACAGTAGGGCGGTACTCCAAGCCCTGAGATGTAATGTGGTGAACTCGGGACTAATATATGAATGCCATCAACGATTAAATGAGGTATGTAAAAACAACAATGTGACCCTGCAATGGATAAAGGGACACAGTGGATCCAGAGGCAACGATGCAGCAGACGAACTGGCCAGAAGAGGATCGGCTTTGGCCACTATAGGGCCGGAACCAATCATACCAATCCCCTTTGGTAACGTTTGTTCACTGGTACGTAGACACTTCACAATTCAACACGCTCAGCTTTGGAAAAATCTAGTAGACTGTAGACAAGCTAGGGATGCCCTGCCTGAAATTAACAGTCGCTTAACAAAAGTTTTAATGAGACTGAACAAGCCGCAGATTAGGATAGTAACAAGTGCTATCACAGGACACGGCACCTTTAACAAACATTTATTTACTATAGGTGTTACAGATAGTCCCCTGTGCAGGGCATGTATGGGGGAGGAAGAAACGGCGGCCCACGTGCTACTGAAATGTCCGGAGGTCGCTACATACAGGGCTAAACATCTCGGCACGCCGGGATCACTCCCCGAAGTTGCATGCAACATCAAGGGCCTGTTGAGCTTCTTCGGAGAGATCTAATGGCTCGAATAATTACATTATTCCTGCCTACACGCAAAATACGCGCATAGACGTGGAGTTGCGGAAAACAGCCCGTCGTAAACTAAAC